GAGCAAGGCACCGGACACCCCCTCACTCCCCATTACTCCCCGGGCGCTGTGCAATAGCTGCCCACTTAACACAAACTGGAGAACCCAAATGCACGACCCAGAGACTGGAATGTAGGAAAACAATTATTTTTAATCTCCAAGAAAACTGAAAATCCCTCTCAACAGAGTGGGTACTGGATTCAACATAAAGCGCTCACAAGGAGAACAAACAAGCGTAACCAAAGAAGAACTTAAGATTAACTTAAGCTTACAAAAAAACACAACAAAATAACAAAACCTGACGAGACTGGAAAAAAGCCTTTCTTAGTTGAGGCTTGGCACGAGCATCCATGGAAACAAACAAGACGAACTGACACAGGACAGGGGAGAGACAGGACTATTCAAACATGAGGTGAGTGGGAACAGGTGGAACCAATCAGGGGGAAGAAGGAACAGGGCCTGAAATGAGAGACACAACACCACTGCTCCTATAGAGGTCAGCTTTCACTGTGTGCTGTGAGCATGAACATGTGTGACCATTAGAGAGGGTTTCATCCTCCAATTCTGTCGGGTGTGGTTTGGAGTTGAGCCTGAGCGTTTTAGTGTTCACCTGCTGCGCCTGTGTTTCACCTCCACCTTTCAAGATGCAAGATGCAAGGCTTTTATTGTCATTGGTACCGAGCTGCAGTGTCGTTATGTCCAGCTGTGTCTTGTATTGTGATTGGTCTTGTGTGTATTTGTCTTCCTTATTGTTCTCTGTGAGCCTTTCCCATGTATCTACTTTCCCCCTCCTCATCTCCTCATCTCCTCATCTCCTCATCTCCTCATCTCCTCATCTCCTCATCTCCTCATCTCCTCATCTCCTCATCTCCTCAACTCCTCATCTCCTCAACTCCTCATCTCCTCATCTCCTCAACTCCTCATCTCCTCATCTCCTCAACTCCTCATCTCCTCATCTCCTCAACTCCTCATCTCCTCATCTCCTCATCTCCTCAACTCCTCATCTCCTCATCTCCTCAACTCCTGTGCCTGTGTTTCACAGATGATATTTTTGTATGGATTTGTTGTCAAAGCACTTCAGATATTCATTGCTATCGGGATGTAAAGAACATTCCATGGAATATAACAAGTGTATCTCGAGCCTGTTTCTCAAACTTACCTACCCCACCGTTAAAGTGGACCTATCATGCTATATTTGAATAATATATTGTAGGGCCATACCTCTAAAAAATATGTCTGTGAAGTTTTTTTTTCAAAATACCAAACAGATCCTGCATTTTAGCCATGCCTCATTTCGCTCTATTTGCTCTATTCCAGCCCTGTCTTCACAAGGGCTGATTCTGTAGCAAATGAGCTGCAGCTGGCCACGCCCCCCTGCAAAGGAGGGGGGCGTGGCACGAGCGTCATGTTACCATGTTGTTACCGTGCTGTTACCATGCTGTTACCATGCTGTTACCATGCTGTTACCATGCTGTTACCATGCTGTTACCATGCGGTTACCATGCGGTTACCATGCTGTTACCATGCGGTTACCATGCGGTTACCATGCGGTTACCATGCTGTTACCATGCTGTTACCATGCTGTTACCATGCTGTTACCATGCGGTTACCATGCGGTTACCATGCGGTTACCATGCGGTTACCATGCCACGCAACTCCCCATTCCCTTGATAGGTGGAGGGTTGCCCATATAGACGGAACGTCACCGCCCACTATTCCGGGCTGACGTCGGATGGAATCTGTATCCGCTCGTTGCAACCCCATTTTTAGAGATTTGGGTATGGAGGAAAAGAGAGAGGGTTGTGTTTTATGACACTTGGTGAGTTCCCTGACACACCGGGGACACATATTCATGTATGCAAGACACGTTTTTTTTGCATGTTAGGTCCACTTTAACTTATGAGGCAGCATACCTCTAGTGAGGGGCCCAGTTTGTCTGTATGTGACCCTCAGTGAAAAAGGTTTGGACTCTACAAAGAAACCTATACCACAGAAGAAGAACAGGGCCTCTTTGTTCGTGGAACATGTTGGCCTTTAGCTGCAGCCAACACGTCTCTAACAGGATATGTGGTGATTAGCTTCCTTTCTAACACCTTCCTTCAGAAACAGTGAGAATAACTTCAAACTTCCTGATTACTGGGTTCCTATAAAGCTAATAACTGGACGGACGTTTTGATAGCAGAGTCTGTCTGCGCTTTGAAGAAGTGACGTTAGCAGGAAGTGCACCTGGAACCTTTTGGCTTCTGAGAAAAATATCTGTGACCTTTTTTATTAAACCACAAAAACACGAAGGTGACCGAGTGAATGGAAAACACAGAAGTCAGACACACACACACACACACACACACACACACACACACACACACACACACACACACGTTTTTCTTCCTGTTTTGACAGAATATAAATGTCAGTGTGGTTTTACCTGCAATTAAACCATCGTTCAGTTTAGTAGAAACACTCACCTGACATTTGAGATGTTATTCTGTGTGTGTGTGTGTGTGTGTGTGTGTGTGTGTGTGTGTGTGGTGTGTGTGTGTGTGTGTGTGTGTGTGTGTGTGTGTGTGTGTGTGTGTGTGTGTGTGTGTGTGTGTGTGTGTGTGTGTGTGTGTGTGTGTGTGTGTGTGTGTGTGTGTGTGCGTGTGTGTGTGTGTGTGACCTAGCATTACTATACTTGTGGGGACCTAAAACTGTCTACACAGTCCCTTAAGGGGACAAATTGGAGGTCCCCATGAGGGGGATCATTCATTTTAGGGTGAAGACTTGGTTAGGGTAAGGGTAAGGTTAAAGGTGGGGTAGGTAAGTTTCAGAAACCGGCTCGAGTGCACTAAAATTTGAAAGTACACAGCCGAAAAGAATCCGCCCCTTCCTTCAGACTTCCTTACAGAGCACCTGCTCCAACACACATGAACGCGCAATGCACACGGCCAATGACGGCACGCCCAATGAGGGTACAAGATACATTTGTGCGTGCACGAGATGGAAGGCTGACAGACAGGGCGGCAATCGCTAAACGGATTGGTTGTACTTTTTACAGAACCACAGGCTTCCACAGATGACATTTTTGTATGGATTTGTTGTCAAAGCACTTCAGATATTCATTGCTATCGGGATGTTAAGAGCATTCCATGGAATATAACATCAAGTGTATCTCGAGCCGGTTTCTCAAACTTACCTACCCCACCTTTAAGGTAAGGGTTAGGGTAAGGGTAAGGGTAAGGGTTAGGGTTAGGGTAAGGGTTAGGTTAAGGGTTAGGGTAAGGCTTAGGTTAAGGGTTAGGGTTAGGGTTAGGCATGTGTTGGTTAAGGTTAGGATAAGTCTCCAGGAAATGCATGTAAGTCAATGTAATGTCCCCTGAAGTGATGTATACATGGTATGTGTGTGTGTGTATACATGGTATGTGTGTTGTTGTGTGTGTGTGTGTGGTGTGTGTGTGTGGTGTGTGTGTGTGTGTGTGTGTGTGTGTGTGTGTGTGTGTGTGTGTGTGTGTGTGTGTGTGTTGTGTGTGTGTGTGTGTGTGTGTGTGTGTGTGTGTGTGTGTGTGTGTGTGTGTGTGTGTGTGTGTGTGTGAGGCAGAAGTGTGGGTGGTGAATAATACATAAACCGCAGTACTTCCACTGCTGTCTCCTCATCAGGTGATGCATGTAGTTCTCATTATAAGCAGCTTATTGGAAATTAGAATATTTCCTTTTGTATCAGTTAAAGGAAAATACAAGAGGAAACTCCTCTGAATCTCTAACGGCAACAAGAGGTGAAGATGACTTAGTTGATGTCTTTGTGTTGATTTGTGGTCTTGTTGAGGTCAGTCAGTGTCTCTCAGCTGTCAGGAGGTGTGTCTTTTAAACATGTCTTTGAAGTCAGTTTCTTTCTCCTTCTAGTTCTCTTTAAAACGCTTTGAGGCCCTTTTCTGCCTGTTTGAGTCATTGTGTAGTCATTCTGTTTCCCATAGTAGTGATGTGTCTCTCAGCTGTCAGGATGGGATGTTGTGAACTCTTTTCTGCATCTTTGTATAATTGTGTGTCTCTTTTTTGTTATTCTGTGTTACATGTTATCCGTCGTGTGTCTCTCAAATGTCAGGTTTCGTGTCTTTTTAAAGTTTTCTGTGTCTTTTTTTAGTCATTTTCAGTCTATTTTTAGGTGTTTCGTGTCTTGCTGTCGAGACATTTTAGCTGTCATGTGTCTCTTAGTTTTAAGGATGTGTATCTTTTCAATCTTTCCTTTGTTTTTGTAGTCATAATGTGTCCCTTTGTTGTCATATGTCCATTAGCGGTCATAATGTGTATCTCTTGCATGTTATGTGTGTTTTTGTATCATGTGTCTCTTTTGTCTCTAAGTCATCAGGATTGTTAGAGAATATTTCTTCTTTCTTCCTAAGTGTCAAATAATAATTCTTCCTTACTCCTAAGATATTGAACATGTACGATCAGCCCTGCTCCTTATCTCCGTAAGGAATGTGATCATGCAGTCGTATGTTGATACTAGGTTTTACAGCTTGACCTACAGGGCAGAGGGAGGTTTTGTGAGTGTGAGAACGCTAGCTTCTAAGCTCCAGAGATGGGAGAGACATCTCCTGTAGCTCCACAGATGTTTACGCCTCCCCCAATATGCTCATTAACTCTCTGATAGTTAAAAGGTCTATCCAGAGATAGGCTGGGCAGAATTGACATGACAACCCACCGTGCAGTCAGAACCTTTTGCTGCTGTGACTTGTGATGTGAATTCTCCGGCCGTTGACTTGTAATAAACTATCATTGTTTGACATCAAAGCTCCAACTGTCCTCGTGTCTCTCTGAGTCCTGACTCTCCATTGCTGCAGAAGTTTCCCTTACAAGGTCCACCTCGCTGTGTATTTCTTATTGAGTGTCCCATTTTAGTTGTCACTTGTCTCTCAGCTGTCAGGATGTGTATCTTTTAAAAGTTTCCGTTGGGTTTTTTTGTAATGAGTCTCTTTGAGGTCATTTCCTCTTCCTATTAAACCAGCTTCTAAAAACAGTTAGAAAATATCCTTAATTTTCTCTCTAAGTAAAATACAAGAGAAGCTGAAGGTAACCACAGAAAAGAGGAAGATGAGGTCTGACACACTGCAGCGCCCCGAGATATCGTCGTAGATTGATTGATTCATTTCTAAGTAGTGACCTTTGAAGGGCATGATGTCATCTTCTGTTTCAACACTTCTTTTCATTTCCACGGAGAGAAAAACCTTATGAGTGTGGTGTCTGTCCACAGAGCGTCAGATGGAGTGAACCAGAGCTGTAAAGCAGACCTTGCAGCAACAAGTAAGACTTTGTGATGATTTATTAATAATGTGTAACATGCAGGAGGTGGTGGGACACGGTTAGTTTAGGAAGAGAGGAGGTGGGACACGGTTAGTTTAGGAAGAGGGGGTGTGGGACACGGTTAGTTTAGGAAGAGAGGAGGTGGGACACGGTTAGTTTAGGAAGAGAGGGTGTGGGACACGGTTAGTTTAGGAAGAGAGGGTGTGGGACACAGTTAGTTTAGGAAGAGAGGGTGTGGGACACGGTTAGTTTAGGAAGAGAGGAGGTGGGACACGGTTAGTTTAGGAAGAGAGGGTGTGGGACACGGTTAGTTTAGGAAGAGAGGGTGTGGGACACGGTTAGTTTAGGAAGAGAGGAGGTGGGACACGGTTAGTTTAGGAAGAGAGGATGTGGGACACAGTTAGTTTAGGAAGAGAGGAGGTGGGACACGGTTAGTTTAGGAAGAGAGGGTGTGGGACACGGTTAGTTTAGGAAGAGAGGGTGTGGGACACGGTTAGTTTAGGAAGAGAGGAGGTGGGACACGGTTAGTTTAGGAAGAGAGGAGGTGGGACACGGTTAGTTAGGAAGAGAGGAGTGTGGGACACGGTTAGTTTAGGAAGAGAGGGTGTGGGACACGGTTAGTTTAGGAAGAGAGGGTGTGGGACACAGTTAGTTAGGAAGAGAGGGTGTGGGACACAGTTAGTTTAGGAAGAGAGGGATGTGGGACACGGTTAGTTTAGGAAGAGAGGAGGTGGGACACGGTTAGTTTAGGAAGAGAGGAGGTGGGACACGGTTAGTTTAGGAAGAGAGGAGGTGGGACACGGTTAGTTTAGGAAGAGAGGGTGTGGGACACGGTTAGTTTAGGAAGAGAGGGTGTGGGACACAGTTAGTTTAGGAAGAGAGGGGGTGGGACACAGTTAGTTTAGGAAGAGAGGATGTGGGACACGGTTAGTTTAGGAAGAGAGGAGGTGGGACACGGTTAGTTTAGGAAGAGAGGAGGTGGGACACGGTTAGTTTAGGAAGAGAGGGTGTGGGACACGGTTAGTTTAGGAAGAGAGGGTGTGGGACACAGTTAGTTTAGGAAGAGAGGGTGTGGGACACAGTTAGTTTAGGAAGAGAGGATGTGGGACACAGTTAGTTTAGGAAGAGAAGATGTGGGACACAGTTAGTTTAGGAAGAGAGGAGGTGGGACACGGTTAGTTTAGGAAGAGAGGGTGTGGGACACGGTTAGTTTAGGAAGAGAGGGTGTGGGACACGGTTAGTTTAGGAAGAGAGGGTGTGGGACACGGTTAGTTTAGGAAGAGAGGGTGTGGGACACGGTTAGTTTAGGAAGAGAAGAGGTGGGACACAGTTAGTTTAGGAAGAGAGGATGTGGGACACGGTTAGTTTAGGAAGAGAGGGTGTGGGACACGGTTAGTTTAGGAAGAGAGGGTGTGGGACACGGTTAGTTTAGGAAGAGAGGGTGTGGGACACAGTTAGTTTAGGAAGAGAAGATGTGGGACACAGTTAGTTTAGGAAGAGAGGATGTGGGACACGGTTAGTTTAGGAAGAGAGGGTGTGGGACACGGTTAGTTTAGGAAGAGAGGGTGTGGGACACGGTTAGTTTAGGAAGAGAAGAGGTGGGACACGGTTAGTTTAGGAAGAGAGGGTGTGGGACACGGTTAGTTTAGGAAGAGAGGGTGTGGGATACGGTTAGTTTAGGAAGAGAGGAGGTGGGACACGGTTAGTTTAGGAAGAGAGGGTGTGGGATACGGTTAGTTTAGGAAGAGAGGAGGTGGGACACGGTTAGTTTAGGAAGAGAGGGTGTGGGATACAGTTAGTTTAGGAAGAGAGGATGTGGGACACGGTTAGTTTAGGAAGAGAGGAGGTGGGACACGGTTAGTTTAGGAAGAGAGGAGGTGGGACACGGTTAGTTTAGGAAGAGAGGGTGTGGGATACGGTTAGTTTAGGAAGAGAGGGTGTGGGATACGGTTAGTTTAGGAAGAGAGGGTGTGGGATACGGTTAGTTTAGGAAGAGAGGAGGTGGGATACGGTTAGTTTAGGAAGAGAGGGTGTGGGATACGGTTAGTTTAGGAAGAGAGGGTGTGGGACACGGTTAGTTTAGGAAGAGAGGGTGTGGGATACGGTTAGTTTAGGAAGAGAGGGTGTGGGACACGGTTAGTTTAGGAAGAGAGGGTGTGGGACACGGTTAGTTTAGGAAGAGAGGGTGTGGGAGTTTTTTTGCAATGATTTTTTGAGACTTGATGACTTTAAATCACACAATGACAAATGTTGACTGAAGCTGATGTGTTTGACTTTTTATCATAATTTATATTCATTTAAATTATTTTGTATTTTATTAGTTGAATATTTCGGTGATTTTTTTATTATTTCTCATTCATATTAATATTTACATTTTAATAAATGTCATTTTTATTTTTTTAAATGACTGATTTCTGATTAAAGGCAGACTGAACTTGTATCTATATCTTTACATCAGTATTTTTCTTTATATATATATATATATATAGTATATATTTGGGCTGTTATTATTCTATTTATTTTCTCTACACATAAAAAAACTACTTTCAGATTAAAGGCACACTTAACTTAAATACATTTATTTTGATGATTTATTATTTAAATATTATATAATTGTAAATGTGCTGGTTTTGTTTGATTTAATTTGATTATTTTAATACTATTATTTCTTCTCGACAAAAAAACTGCCTCTGGATTTAAAGGCATGTCAGCTTTGATCTAACTTCAAGTCTGTTAGTGTTTTTCTTTCTCAAATTATTTTCAATTTATTTTCAATTATTTTTGTTTGATTTTATTTGGTTTCTTTTTTTTATTAAATTCCATCATTTTAGTTTTTTATTATTCAAATGTTTTTTTTATTTATTCGTTTTATTCTTTTTTAATTTTATTTAACAAAACTATTAAAATGTCAGATTTAAGGCAGATGATAAGTTTCTTTGTTTTTTATGTATGTATAGTGTATGTTAAAAAGTAGATTTGTATTTGAACAAAGCAAATACAGAATACGGACAATAAGTCAATTCAATACATAATTAGTTTAAAAGAATGTGACTCGACTTTAAGCATTGCCTATCTAGTGTCACACCTCCCAAAATGCAACAACCCTTTACTTCTTACCTGGCTAGTATCAGTGATATTTGGTGTGTTCAGAAGTCAAACCAGCCTACGTGCCTTTGAGCAGGACCCTGGATCTCTAGGTGAATTATGTGTTCAATTAAAGTCAATTCAAATTCAACGTGGAGCTAATTCTGGCCTTGAAACAGATGATTCCACATCTCATTATCACTGGGTATTTGTCTCACTTCAAGCAGGTGTTGGAGTGTGTGAGTAGAACCAGATCACACCACCTGCGGCAGGATGTCAAACATTTCTATGTCTGTTTGTTGTTCTCGATCACCTGTCAGTGCTTCTCGATGTGGTCAGGGTGTTATTGGATGTGCAGAAAAAGAACACCTTGACACCCACCACACAAATAAAGAAGCAACCGTTCTCTGTGTATGCAGGATGAGAAGAAAGAGGAAGCAGTGAAAGGAGCCTTCGTCAAAACACTTCAAACGCTGGACATCATAAATGGAGAGGAGTCAGAAACCCCGTCTGCTGGTCCTGCTTCTCGCTCTGATGCAGGTCTGCCATGGAGAGGGACGTTGTTCGAGTGACCCGGGCAACAGTAAGTTATTTTGGTTTTGTAGAGTAACTTAACAATCTAATTGTGGTGGAAATGCCATACTTAAATATACAAGCTTAAGCCAAATTATGTTATTTAATATAGAGTTATAGCATTTAACAGAATCTATTTCCAGCTGGAAGGCCAGATAACCTGCACTAGTAGATGGTACCAGAATCTGACCCCGTTGCAACAGGAAAACAAGCACAGGGAAAAGACAAAAGGGGGAGGTCTCAGCTAGAATTGACATTACAGGCTATTGAAATGGGCTAAACTTGCATACGAGCTAATTACAAACCTAAGATCCATATCATAATTGCCTGACAACCATTCTGTCTGAGAACATTTAGTTGCTAGGCGTGAATTCAAACTGTTAGAAAATAAAGTTACAGTGAAATTATATATCATTAAATAAGACTTATGATACATGTCTACAATACTAATGTCCGTCCAGGAGCCCACAATTGGTCACATCAAACTTAAAAATATAATAATAATAAAGCTTTATTTATATAGCACTTTTCATACAACACATGCAGCTCAAAGTGCTTTACAAAATGTTTTAACATCACAAGTTAAAAATAAACAACAATAAATTCCCCTCAGCTCAGATGTCAAGACCTTTACAGACATGCAGCAAAATATAACACTTTAACAGGTTAAGAGACGCAAGGAGGGAAAATGTATGATAATACAAATAAAATACAATAAAATAAATAATGGTTTATCTCGGAAAGATGAGACACAACACAAGTGAATCGATGCAACAATATAAAACCCAATAGAATAAAGTGAACATATAGGTACAAACATGTATGATTGAATTAATACATTTAATTATTTAATTTAAAAGAGTCCTCTCTTCTGTACGCAGCTCTGACAATTGTTCTTCTATTGATAGCCATGTTTTGTACTGACAGGATTCTTGCTTTTTGGGTTTCTTCTTGGTTTATTGTCCCTTTGGATAAAAGTAATGCAATATACAAAATGGTGCAAACCTTGAGAATTTTTCAGAATGTGTCCAATCACATCATTTAAAGTGATTAGAGAACAATATGTGGAAAGTTATGAAGAAAAAAAGTGTTTTGAATTAGATAGACCTGAACATCAGCAGGAGAGAACTCTTTAAAGTAGAGACACTACATACTGATATACACCTGAACATCAGCAGGAGAGAACTCTTTAAAGTAGAGACACTACATACTGATATACACCTGAACATCAGCAGGAGAGGACTCTTTAAAGTAGAGACACTACATACTGATATACACCTGAACATCAGCAGGAGAGGACTCTTTAAAGTAGAGACACTACATACTGATATACACCTGAACATCAGCAGGAGAGGACTCTTTAAAGTAGATACACTACATACTGATATACACCTGAACATCAGCAGGAGAGGACTCTTTAAAGTAGATACACTACATACTGATATATACCTGAACATCAGCAGGAGAGGACTCTTTAAAGTAGAGACACTACATACTGATATACATCTGAACATCAGCAGGAGAGGACTCTTTAAAGTAGATACACTACATACTGATATACACCTGAACATCAGCAGGAGAGGACTCTTTAAAGTAGAGACACTACATACTGATATACACCTGAACATCAGCAGGAGAGGACTCTTTAAAGTAGAGACACTACATACTGATATACACCTGAACATCAGCAGGAGAGGACTCTTTAAAGTAGAGACACTACATACTGATATACACCTGAACATCAGCAGGAGAGGACTCTTTAAAGTAGAGACACTACATACTGATATACACCTGAACATCAGCAGGAGAGGACTCTTTAAAGTAGAGACACTACATACTGATATACACCTGAACATCAGCAGGAGAGGACTCTTTAAAGTAGAGACACTACATACTGATATACACCTGAACATCAGCAGGAGAGGACTCTTTAAAGTAGAGACACTACATCCTGATATACACCTGCACATCAGCAGGAGAGGACTCTTTAAAGTAGTGTTAGAAATTAAAATCAATGTTTTGATAGCATAATGTACCCTAAACATACCGTCAGTTTAAATGCTGTTTTATACTGAAAAACCAGAAGTTCTTGTGCGTCCAGTTGTTAAGCTTTTATTCTGAAAATCCTTCATGACGACTTCCGTGACTACCGCCCATTAGTATCATTAAAGTGGCTATTGACGCCGTTAACATGTATTACATATAAAGTTATGAAAGAGATAAGGAGGAGAAAAGGCATGTGGAAGTAAGCAATGAATGTAAAATGTCGAAATCCTCTGTTTAACGCGATATCGGACACAGACGAACGAGAGGGGGAAGTCCCTTACGTCACTACAGCTCACAGAGAGGAGGAGCGAACAGCGAGCAAGCGGGAAGGACGAATGCTTGTACGGTCTCTTCTGCACGGCCGGCACTTGGGAGAGGGAGCTGCAGACTTTCTCTCCTGAATGAAATATCCTGTTTGTGACTTTACCACGCTTTTTATTAATTAAAGTACCAATTTGAAAACATCTCAGAGACTCCATTTAGTCTCCTTTTTAAGCTTCTCTTTCCTGGACACGAGAATAACCATCACAGTTAACAGTAGAGACACTACATGAAAATAAACATAATCTATCCTCTTTCATTTCTCTCCTTCACTTCCCACAGATATCACCTGCTCCTCTGACTACAACCGTACAATCACGTGTGTGTGGAACAGCGCGTATGATCATTCAGGCAGTGAGTGCACGATAGATGCCTTAAATAAAGACAAGTAAGGACAGATGTATAATTTACATACATGCAGATAAACAATTACTTTGATATCAAATATTATGTGTCTGAAGTCAAAATGAAATGGAACATGTTTTTTTTACAGGCCTAGAAGGAAATCTTCCAACGCTTCATGCACGCTCAAACCTGTTGAAGGCAGATCAACGCAAATGACCTGTAACATGGAGTTCTTTAGAGACGAAAACGTGAGTCTGATTATCTCGCTAATTATACGGCTGTGTAATAAATAAACAAACCACTGGACTCACAATATCAATTTTAAAATGATTGTATTGCTTCCGCTAACAAATATAGTTTAGTCTTAGTTATTAACGGTCTGCTATGCTTAGCAACCGTCTGCATTCCTTAGTAACGGTCTACTATCCTTAGTAACTGTCTGCTATCCTTACGGCCCGTCCACACACAGGCATGAAAAAAATCTTTCAAAGCTTCGCCCATTCACTTGAATGGGCGAAGATTTTGAATCTTCACCGAACTGCATTGTGGGGAGCGGAGCATGGCTTTGCAAGCATCGTGAGCATCAAAAGTTGAGCAATGTTCAACTTTTGATGCTCCCGATGCTTTCGAAGCTGGCATCATCCAATCAAATCCCGTTTATGCAAATCCCGCCAGTACAAGCGCTAGCCAATCAAACCGCGTGCAAGCTGGGAGAGCCAGACCGCAGTTCATTTCCTCATATTCAAAACGAGAAATTACGGTAGCAAATCACCCGGTTCTTTACGACCAGAACTATTTACCGGGATACAAACCGGAGGAGCGAGGCATGGAGGGAGGTGGCAGAGACAGTGGGTGACACTAGTAGGTTTTCGCCTGTTTGGGGATTTTATATCCAGTTTACTTCGTTTTAACATTGCTATTGCTTTGTATGTCGGGGGCGGGAGATTCATGTGATTGGTTGTTGGTCGCGTTGCTCGCAAAAAATCGCCAAGCTTCAGACACGCCCAGCATCAAGATTTTTCAAGATTTGTTTCATGCCTGTGTGTGGACCGGCCGTTAGTAACCGTCTGCTATGCTTAGCAACAGTCTGCAATCCATAGCAACGGTCTGTTATCCCAAGCAACAGTCTGCTATCATTAGCAACGGTCTGCTATCCTTAGCAACAGTGTGCCATCCTTAGTTATAGGGCTGCAACAAACGACTAATTTGATAATTGATTAATCTATCGATTAATGAAAGGATTAATCGACTATTCGGACTATTACTGTATGCCTTGCACAATTTCTCAAACGCTCTTATTTATCAACTTTTAGATTTAGCTTGAGGTTGTTTTAGGCATGTGGAAACTAACAATGAAGACAATAAAGATGAATACTTGATTCAAAAATACATATATTATAAATTAACTAAACAAATTGTGAACAAAATTAACATTGCTTTTTATTTAAATTAAATAAATAATAATTCACATCAAAAGAAACAACAATGTTTTAACAAATAGTATTAAATAATCTGATGACAGAACTGTGAACAGAATAGCTGAAACTTTAACTAACTAAATAACTCAGTTTCCTCTAATCATTAACCCATGTTTGTATAATGTAGTTAACTCCGTGTGTTGCTGCTAGCATACATAACACCTGACGTGGAAACGTTCCTCGTGGATGGGGCTACAGAGCTGCTAGAAAGACAGTCGAACCCGGTGCATTTCCTCCGTCTGCATGTGGAGCACTTTTGATAAATGTTTAGACAAACTGCTCGTGTTACCGCCCTTACATGATAAACTCTTATTGCACTTTAGGTAACGAGCATTGTCCACATCGAGGCGGGTAACATTTAACCACACCTTGGAGCGCTTCTCTCCGCCATCCCCTCCGTGTGTTGCTGCTTGTAGCAGCCGCGTGTGTGTAAACTGCCCCGCCCCCTCGCGCACAGACGGGGGAGAGAGATCCCGTCTGGATTGGAAAGATCGAAAATACATCATAGACGCATTTGTTTGTCTTTTTGCATATTAGAAACGAGTTGGCGACACTAAGACTGTGATATAATGTTTATGTAGCAATAACACATATGACATATCTTTTTTAAATGTCTCCAGTACCGATAAAAAAGCCGATAACGTCGGAGCTTAACGCGTAAAACACACGTGATGACGTCACCAACGAATCGACGACTGAATTAGTTGTTGCACCCCTACTTAGTAACAGTCTCCTGTCCTAAGTAATGGTCTGCTATCCTTAACAACGGTCTGCTATCCTTAGCAACAGTGTGCCATCCTTAGTAACATACTCCTATCCCTTAGTAACGGTCTGCTATCCTTAGTAACCGTCTGCTATGCTTAGCAACAGTGTGCCATCCTTAGCAACGGTCTGCTATCCCTAGGAACAGTGTGCCATCCTTGGCAACGGTCTGCTATCCCTAGCAACAGTGTGCCATCCTTAGCAACGGTCTGCTATCCTTAGCGACGGTCAGCTAGCCAAAAAGAGCTTTCAACCAAACCCTGTAACAATTTGTTTTTATGTTTCCTAATCTTTATTGGTGACATTTTAAGGGGCAGGCATATAGCTATTCTCAGTATTTGTGCTAAGCTAAGCTAACTAGGCGAAGGCTACTAGTTGTTAAATAACATTTAGAGTACAAATATAAGAGTTGTATTCATCTTCTTATCCAACTCTCGATACAGCAATAATATTTACATTAAAGACTATTAGCTTGAGCTTTTAATCATATTCTCACCTTTATAAAAACATCACCTACCAACAGCTACTCTCATTTCATGTTGTATTGTTGTCCTATGAATGTTTTTTTTTAATCAACATTATTTTCTTACATTTTCTTAGTTTCAACCTGCCGATATCTTCTCCATGAATCTGACCTGTAATCCTGGGCCGGCCAATGTGACCATGTGCTTCCAGCCAGAGCATCACAGTGAGTACAATGAATATATCACCTTATGTGATTCAATCTGTGAGCTATTCATGATGACCTAAAACAAACTCTGTGTGTGTTTGATTCTGCAGTAAAGCTGAACCCTCCACAACGACCTCATATCAACTTCACCACCATTTCCTGGCACCCCCAAGTTAAAAAGAGATACAAAATCACACTGTACAAGTGCCAGTTGCAGTGGAAACAAGAGAAGCAGTCATGGAGTGTGTGTATATATGTTGTTACTGCGTTAGTATTTTAATGCATGAATAATTGTGTAATTATTTAGGCATAATTTCGCGTTCACACCAGCCTTGATAGTCTGGTTGAACCCTGGTTTAACCCCTTGGTGGGATCCAAGTCTCAGATAGCTTTAAGTGAACTAAGGTCTGTTTTATTTCTATTGTGAACATGCGTCAAACCCAAAAAACATTATTGTGTATTTGCATTTGTTTGAATAAACTAAACTAGTTCTGGTGAACTAGTAGTCAGTGGTGCTACCGCTGAGTTTGGTGAACTTAAAATGTATCAGCCAACAAATGAGACAATAATTAGCTAGCTAACACTCGCCGCCTCACTAGAAAATGATAGTTGAAACCCAGAGCTACCGCTGGTCGGCTCCCCGCTGTTTTGCTCATTTCCTGTAACCAGTGTAGGATAAAACATGAAGGAATAAGCAAACTAGCTAGCTAACTAGCCCGTTAGCAGCTAAGTGTCTTCTCATTCTCGTTCCATTGTAGAAAAGCACACCAGCCATGTTGAGCAGTTTACTATACAACTAACCTTACGTATGTTTATGTTTGAAACTCAGACTAGCACTGCCTGCTGGTTAGAAGAGTTATTTAGTCTTAGCAGTTGCAGAACATACGTGACATGGCTGTTGGTTGTCGTTTTTCATGTGCGACTTTTTGGCCAAAACACAGCAATCGACACATGTTTTGGTGAGTCACAGCCTTTAGTTCTGGACAGTTCTTTAGATTGTTTAATAACTTGCACACATGTTGTAGGATATCAAGAAACACTACATGAACATCAGCTTACTCAACATCCACTCATTTCTTCTCTGTCAGGATCCGTCTGTGCAGAAAAACACAAATACTTATCCATGGAAGTGGGAAGAATCAGGGTCCGCTGTAGAGCTTGACGATGATTGGCTGATTCGAGGCAAGAGGTACGAGGCACGCGTTCGAGTGAAGTCCGAAGAGACAGACCAAAGCTCTACCTGGAGTGGCTGGAGCCCCACTGCATCATGGGTATCCACCGTTGGAAGAACGGAACAACCCCAACCACCATCAGGTAAAGACGGCCAAATATCAACATAGATTGATTTTGTTTATGAAGGTCAATGTAAAGATTTTAGATACTAATTTGTGGGATTTGTATTCCTATTTGTTATGCTAATTAAGGATCATTAGAAAAAGAGTGTGGTATGTTCTCTTCCTGTATTTGAATTCCTGAGAATTAAGGAAACAAGTCGGACAAAAAAACTTTTTCTATGTTAATAATTTTTTGTTGTTTTTTTTATAACATATCACATGGAAACATGTTATAGTTTGATTGAACAGCTATAGAGGTCATGTGAATCAAGATCAAGCAAAGCCAAATAAACCTTGATATGCTAACGGTATATTCTCTGTCCTGTGTTTGTCAGATCTTGCTTGGCGTGTTTCGGGCCTTTTTGCCGTTGCAGCTGCGATTGCAGTGTTTCTGGTTATCGTACGATTTAAGACTGACAAAACCACCTGGTAAGCAACAACACAGTACTTTTACAAGACCTTAACTAAATGTTGTTCAAGAGCAATAAGCTATATTTGTTCTAACCTTGCTCATGTCTTTGTGTTTTATAGGGTTTACATCGTGAAGATAATCAAAGGTCCGCCTATTCCCAACCCAGAGAAATCCTTCCTGAAGGATCTAAAGTTCGAGGTGAGCTTAAATATGCTTTTCTTTTAACCTCTTAGGCCCCACGGACCCGGTTCCGGGACCGAAATCGCGTTATTTGCAGGAAACAACGTCTAAAGAACCGTAATATTTAATAAACTATGAATATGTTATATCCATATAACGGGAAAAAACACACAATGCCTATTACTGCACCGATAATCACTCTTAGCTCCCTTATTACTTATCCTAGCTGCACATCCAACACATCGTTTATGATCGTAAAGACACAGAATCTAACGGTGCCCACCTCAACACTGAAGGATACAAACTCCCGACGTTATCAACAAAAACGTACATCAAGACATGTGGCGCTAGGTAGCCTACAACGCTAACATGGCTTACCTTGGTTTTGTCTGGTCAAAACTGGTCTTCAATAGCATTAAAACGATAACAACGATACTGTACTTAATCCATAGGTTAATATCCAATGTGGCTGTGTCCCCTTTGAAATGTTCTGATAATCTAAGCAATAAAACTGCAATTCCATTCTCAAACATCAGAGCAGGGATATTCCTACGCTCTGTAGCAAGATTGAATGCGCGAAGACGCCCCTTTTTTTAACATGAGTGTGTGCGGGACGATTTCCCTTCGATTCTATTGGCTCTAACGGTCAGAAAAAGATGTCACATGTCAAAATTGAACAAGAGATAAGGAAAATCCACCCAAATGGCCCCAGAAGAGGTTTTTCTTGCTAAATCTGTCTAAAAAGGTCAAATATCACTTGTTTTGCATCAATCTTGATACAGGGTACTTATTATATGTTGTACTTTGGATTCCTAAAGCTTTTAGTCTACTAACCCATCATTCAAGGTTAGTTTTCACTATAAGTACAACATATTTTTTGGACGGACACTATAATTTACAGTTTTTGACTATGTTCAATCAGAATTGTCTTTAAAATAGAAAACATCTATATTGATTCTGACTCTTCTACATCCAACTCACAGGTTTATCATTACTTTGAGAAAAAGATTATTCATTTAACCCTTTTAGAAGATATGGTCATTTGTTCTGGGAATGTCATTTTCGAGCCTGAGACCTGAACAACAGGCTTGGGGCTGACCAAAAACAACGATATATGAAAACACAATCAACTAAAAGCTGAGAAGAGAGACACACTTTGTTATAAATATATAATTGATTTGTGGATTTCGAGACTTGTGTTTTCTGTTGGATTTTTTGTTTAACGATAGTAGAGATAATACAAATATCTTCTCTGGCTCTCCTTTTAAGTTTTTTTAAAACCCAGACATTTGTTCAACCGTGACATTTGCATAGTTTTGACCGTCGATATTGGACATCTGGAGTGTGTTATTATGTACAGACTAACGCTAACATTAGTCCGTCCTTTTGTGATGCAGCTTTGCAATGAAAGGAGCATAAAGAAAGGGAGGTGAAAAGGGAACGTTTATTATAACAGGTGTTGCATCAATTTGGTTTAAAGTATTATACAGTACCTCCACTACATTTATCTGACAGCTTTTACGGATTCAGATTACTTTCTAATAAAAACTATGAATCCACTAATAAATAAACATGTATTATAGGATCAGATATCTAAAGTCATTAAAGATAGCTCTAGATTTCAGCTGTGATGAACACATTGATGCATCAATAGTCATAATAATTGGTCAACCGCTTAGAGATGTCCCGCCCCTTGTGTTGGAGCGCTAGCCATTAGCAGCGCAATAGTTCCATAGTGATGTCACTATGTCCCACAAGTAAACAAAGGAGTCCAATGGAGGCATATTTTTACAGTTTACTCTTGCTACTTTTACTTATCTGAATATGTGAGTTCTTCCATCACTGTTTTCATATAGATTTAGAACCTTAACGGGTACTTTTAACACTTTAAGTATATTTAAATATATCTTGAACACTTTTTTACTTTCACTTAAGTAAGAATTAGGATGGACGTATCTTGTACTTCTTCCACCTCTGGCTTTATGCATCTTTACAGCCGTTATAATCCAATGAATATTTAAAATGAGATAAGAAGTACTTTATTGATCCCAAGTTGGGTAATGTTTGTGTTGCAGCAGCATAAAAAGACATGGCATTGTACAATAGAATAAACCTTCCAAAATGTCAACATCTCAATAGCATTAGCAAAACATATAAGAAAATATACAGTACATGTTGAATTACAAATGTACAGTGACACAATATAAAACAGGACATTATATATACATAAGTATGTGAGGAATGGAATATTAAATATTAGATTGGATATAAATGTTTCACGTTTCAAGGCTTTTATTGTCAACATAGCTACAGTTTAGATATATCAACGACAACCTGAGGTCACAGGCTCCTCCTCCAACGCAAAAAAACAGATGAAATATTACAGGTAGATAAAATAGAATGTAATAGAAACAGTGCCCAATAGTCTCTATGCCGTCACTGGAATATTGAAATGTAACATGTACAGTGTGATATTAGCAACATGTCCTTTAACCTCCTCTTCTCCTGCAGAGTCGGTCGAGTCCTCACTTCCTCATCGCTTCGGGGGAACTGGACTCAGTGGAGATCTCCTCCTGTGTGGACGCAGTGTTGCCGTGCAGCCAGGAGGAGGCGCTGCTGCACAAAATCAGAAGCGAAATGACCCACGAATCCACCAGTTCAGACTTCTCCAACCCCAATTACTCCCATCTCCTCCCCCAAACTCCTCCTCCTCCTCCTCCTCCTCCTCCTCCTCCTCCTCCTCCTCCTCCTCCTCCTCCTCCTCCTCCTCCTCCTCCTCCTCCTCCTCCTCACATGTCCTCCATCACAGCAGGGAACCTCCCTCAATGCGTCTCCGACGCTCCTTACGGGCCGGTGGGAGGTCAAAGAAGTGAAAAGGAAACGGATGAAGACAGAGGGAAGAAGGAGGAGGAGGAAATCCATCAGTTGTTCTCTAAAGGGAGTGAAGCCATGCTGCTGGTTTCAGACTATGAGAGGGTGGAGGAGTTAAAGGGGGAGAGAGGGAGGCTGCAGAGCTTAGATTCAGGTGTTGGTAGTGGGGGAGAGGAGGTGAGTCAGGAGAGCATGGAGGAGGTGAGTCAGGAGAGCATGGAGGAGGAGAGCATCACTGTGGAGGAGAGGGAGGAAGGGAATGAGGAGGAGAGGAAGGAGAAAGCGCAGAGGGAGGAGGTGAAGGAGGAGGAGAGAGAGAAGGAGGAGGAGAGAGAGGAGGAGGAGGAGGAGGAGAGAGTTGATTTCCACAAGATGTTTGGAGGTGGGGGCATTCAGGTGTGCTCTGGTTATAAAAAGATGCACCTGGTAGAGGAAGAGGAGACAGAAGAACTCCTGCTGTCTCCTCCTTCCTCCTGCTCCTCCCCCTCTCTCCCCTCTCTCCCCTCTCTCCCCTCTCTCCCCTCTCTGGGCTTCTCTGAGGGTTTGAAACCTGACCTCCTGGAGAGAATGTCTCTGATGAGCCGCAGCCGGTCAGTGGCGCCCTCTGGTGACGGATACATGCCGGTACGACAGGAACAGAGCTGACAAATAAATACATTATTCTCAGACAGTGTTTGCTCCGTCGCCTGCAGCTGGTCCAAAATGCGGCTGCACGCCTTCTTACCGGGAAGAGACGTTATGACCACATCACACCTTCCTGCCAGTTACAGGATCCAGTTCAAGTACTTACTTGTTGTTTTTAAATCTTGCATGGACTGGCACCACGTTACCTGTCTGCGTTGTTGCACCGCCATGCTCCAGCTAGAGCACTGCGCTCAGCTCAGCAGAACATGTTGGTGGTTCCTCGGAGCAGGAAACCCCAGAGGTCAGAGGGCTTTCAGTGTTGCAGCTCCCAGACTGTGGAACAGCCTTTCTTTCTTTTCTTTACTGTCATTACGTAGTACAGGTATCAGTAAGTGGTTTCTCTGCATTTGACCCATCCTAGTGTTAGGAGCAGTGGGCGCCCGGGGAGCAGTGCCTTGCTCAGGGACACCTCGGTAGCACTTGGTCTTGCCGGGGCTTGAACTGGTGACCTTCCAGTTGCCAAGCCAAGTCCCTATGCACTTGGCCACCACCGCGCAGCCTCCCAGTACATGTAGTACCGGGCTGCTGAATCTATTGAACTTTTTAAATCTCATCTGAAACTCACCTCTTTGCACTGGCTTTGAAGACTATCATGTTTTTAATGATTCTTTTATTATTTTACTCCCATTGTGTTCTTTGATATTGTATTGATTGCCCTACAGCACTTTGGTCAACTGAGCTTGTTTTAAATGTGCTATAAACACACAGATTGATTGAGAACAGAATTGGGGGAAAAGCTTTTAAATATACTGCTGTGTGGAATAATGTGCAGGTGTCATCACTTTGGGGAAGTTCAGGTCCATCTTGAAGGACAGAGAACACAGACTCAAGGTCGATGTGCTTGCTTTTTTATCCCCTCATTGAGTTTTTTGCTCTATAACAATTTGTGTTATTTGCATATCGACTGGCCATTTCATTTGTGTTTGACGACAGCTGTGTTTGTCTGCCTGTCTGCTTTGTGTTGTAAACATTGTTGATGCTCCTCTTGGCCCGACTGCCCTTTCAAAATAGATGTTTATCTCAGAGTCTTTTGGATTACCTGAAAATAAACCCGACAGCGGCAGTTTTCATTTCAATTGTATTTATTTAGTTAGCCGCTACAGTATACTGGTGTCATAGATGTCTTTATGATTGACTCTTTAAGTACAATCTTTACATATTTATAAAAACATTTTGATACTGAACCGTTAAAATATGATTCGTGAAACATGTATAATATATATGAACCCATGTATGGCAGCTGTTTCACAAAGTACTGACGGGAAAGATGAATATTTTCATGGACAAAACTTGATTTGAATCTGAATGTCTTCAGTTGTTCTCATCGCTGCAGCTATTACCATTCATTGTCCTGTTGTTGCTTCTCTGTACATTGTTTTTATAAGAAGAATAAGTGTTTTTATAAAATACATGAGAAGTAAATACTTGCTTTGTTATTATGTTTGACCTGAAGCATGATGCATATATGATTCACAAAGGGTCAAATAGGCAACAGAATAAATCAAATACATATTCAAAAAGTAATCAAATGATATCCCACTCAATCAAAGTGAGAGAGAAATAATACACCATTGTTTTTCATTAATAATACAATAACATTATATAAAAAGATAGATTATTCAAGATAAAATAAATAAATAAAAATAATTAAATTAATAAATCACTTAAAATAAACTAACTAACTAATAAATTAAAAACAATATAAAAATACTGTTACAAAAAGGTCGATGAAAAAAACTAGGGATGAATTAAGCTGACTCGAGTCACAACAAATGGTCCTTAGGTGCTTTTATTAACAGCCAACATGCTGAAAAACACAAAGTCACAAGGATTTACATAAAGAAAACCTCAATAAATATATATATATATAATATATATATATTATATATATATACAGGTCGTGGACATAGGACTGGGACCTCTCTGCTCTCCTGCCACAGTCAGACTAACTCTCAAAACGCTTGTGGCCAGGGGTTTATACGTTAAGCCCCTCCCCCTAGGACAATCCACTATTTATACCCCTAACCAGTGTCATTCTCATCTCCAAACACATTCACAATGCAAGGCAAATGACCCAAACACAACAGATCAAATAGGCCAACATATTCCATATCTCTGACCACAGAAGCCCCAAACAATAACATTTTTACACTCGCAAGAAAAGTGCCACCCGCGCCCATGCACTACATAGTATGCTCCAATTGAGCACTGGTGTTCCCACTGATTGAGCCTCGACTTAAGGCTGCTTCTTTCTGTTGCTCTGTTCGGCCTTCACAACCTTGAAGGAGAGGATAAGCAGGTTACTTGTATCTGACTTCCAATAAATCTGTTTTGAACAAACAATGACTTGGGTTTTATTTTATCAATCAATCAAATCACAAAATTATTAATATTAAAATTATTACTTTCTCTCAAAAATCTCAGAATTTTTACTTTTTTATTGCTTGATTTTAATTAGATGTTTTATCTTATCTTAATTGTTTGTAACTTCTTTTAGCACCTGATGAAGCGCTTGATGAATAAAATGTATTGTTATTATAATTAAATGTCAAGAATAAAATAACACTTGAGACAATAAATGATAATCTGAAGCTTCACATGTATTCTCTTTAATATCTAAAAGCAAAGTGAGTCACGAATGAAAAGTGGAAATGTTGATGAAAAATGGGGAAAATGTATAAAAGTCAAGAATGAACATTATGTGGGAATCTTGATTTATTCTTGACTCATCTTCCTCTTCCTCCCGGTTGTCTGTCCTTAGTGTTCTTCCATATTAAGAGGTGTGGTTTCAAAACCCCTCGCTTCTTCCTTTACTCTGAAGTCAACCCGTGTCATATAAGGTCATTTCCGAGTAAAAAAGTACACATAAAAATACGTTTTAACGGATGTTCAGATGAGACAGAAAGGAGTCCGACTCTGAGGAAGAAACATGTCTTCATAACCGGTGAGTCGTTATTAATAATATTAAAATCTCTCTGTCATCTCACTGGAAAACTGTTAGAGGGGGAGAAGTACTCAGATTGTGTACTTTAGTAAAAGTAGAAGTACTCAGATATTGTACTTGAGTAAAAGTAGAAGTACTCAGGTCTTGTACTTGAGTAAAAGTAGAAGTACTCAGGTCTTGTACTTGAGTAAAAGTACCAGAGTGTAGGAATACTCTATCATTCAAAATGTTCCTCAAGTGAAAGTAGAAAAGTATTCTCATCAACATATAGTGAAAGTAGCGACAGTGAAAGTAGTCGTTGTGCAGATTGGTCCATTTCAGAATAATATATATGATATGTTTAATAATGATTGATCATGAAAGTGTTCTCAAAGCTGGTGAAGGTGCAGCTAGTCTGAATGGCTTTGTATTCTGCAGGGTAGCTTGTGGATTTACTCCAGGTGGAACTAAAGTCTGATTCAACACTTGATTATATTTACCATCATTCATCCACATCTGTGAAGTAACTAAAGGTATTAAATACATGCAGTGGAGTAGAAGTACACCATGTACCTCTGAATTGTAGTGGAGTAGAAGTACACCATGTACCTCTGAACTGTAGTGGAGTAGAAGTACACCATGTACCTCTGAACTGTAGTGGAGTAGAAGTACACCATGTACCTCTGAACTGCAGTGGAGTAGAAGTACACCATGTACCTCTGAACTGTAGTGGAGTAGAAGTACACCATGTACCTCTGAACTGTAGTGGAGTAGAAGTACACCATGTACCTCTGAACTGCAGTGGAGTAGAAGTACAAAGTAGCATACAATGGAAATATTCAAGTAAAATTCAAACACCTCAAAATGTTACTTAAGTACTTGAGTAGATGTACTTAGTGTTAAAGAGGCTTTCATCCCACAATTCTGAACATACGGCTGAAGGAGAAGAGGGGATTATGAGGGGGAACAATGCTGAAACTTCTCTCAACTGGTCTGGAATCTGTGTTTTTCAAATGCTTAGAAATGGCAGGAGTTTCTATCTACATACAAACAGATTGAATTAAAGAAATACGTGGCAGAGTATAGTCAATTAAAGTCATTAATGTCTGGATTTTAATTGAACAGTTTTCACTGTTAACACGTGTGGTGCTTGTTGCTATTTAATTTGTATGTATTTTTAAAATGTTAAAAAAATAAAATAATTACATTACAATACATAAAACAATTGAAAAAGAGAAATACTTATTTTAAAATGTTGTCTTTTTAATACAATAAAATAATAAAAACAAACTTGAAAAAAAAGATAATACAAGCTAAGAAAAAGTTCCAAACATTACAAAATAACTACAAAATATCCTTAAAAAACTAATTATAACGATAAAATCTCAAATACAAATAAAGGAATTACTATCAAAAAAGATAATAAGAAAATAGAGGAATTAGTTTGTGTGTGAAATAAGTGGAAGTGGAAGTTTCTATCTATATACAAACAAATTGAATTAAAGAAATAAGTGGAAGTGTATTCCAAAGTCAATTAAAGTCATAATGTCTGGATTTGTATTGATAGAAAGATCATTTAAAAAAATAGAGGCATTAGTTTGTGTCCCCGAAACGTTTGGGGATATCTATCAGGGGACAGGGTGATATTTAAACATTCATGAGCATTACCTTCCACTGCAACATGTATTTGTTTATGTTTATTTCATGTGCTTTTGCTAAGAGTCTGCACACAAACTGAGAAACGTGAAGTTTCACTTGTTGTTGTCGGTTTTTAAAAAGACGAAGTGAAATAGTTTGTGGCTGAAAGTGAAAGTTTAACCTCTGATGTTTCTCTAAAATCTGTAAAACACTAATGTTGATTAAAGGTTTGTCCTGCAGCAGAAAGATCTGGATGGACAGCTTATTATGGTCTGTCTGCTCATCAGCTGGTTTGATATGTGACTATGGGACCATATTTTGGGCCAAACATGTGTATTTCTAGTCAACACACTCTCACTCCCTAATCGTCCAGGAGCGACGTTTGGTCAGGGTCCCGTGGCGTGCAGTTGTGACGCTCCTAGGCTCCTTCAGCTTCATAAAGGGACGCAAATAGCTTTCAACTGATTGCAATGGATTCCCATCTGCGGCGGGATTTGACGCTCATGGAAGCACCGCATTCGTTTGTGTCGGCTGCCCTTAAAGGCAATGTGAGCGTCCATTCCCATTGGATAACGGAGAATTGTACACCCGGAAGTAAGTATTCCCCTTACTGTCGATTGATTTTACAGTGATATCTGCACTACTCATCGACTAAAAAACACCAGATTATCCTTGTTAATTACACAACATTGATTGGTTTAAATTGTGTGCAATGCTTTTGTATTTTTCCCCTTCGATTCGGAGAAACAAATATTTTTTCTGAGTAAAGGATGGCAGAAGACACTACACTACCCAGAATCCCCAGCTATCGTTTGGACTACACCATGTGCTCTGTTTGACATCACGTGATCTTCAAATTAAAGTAAATTCAAAATTATTTTATTTATTGAATATAAGTGATCGTTAGTTACGTTACTTTGCAAACCTGAAAATCACTCCAAGCACGTTGAGAGCTGTACATACACACAAGGGGAGTGAGTCGGTTCTGTGAGAGCCAGCATGCGGGACCGGGACTCTGGGATTTGTAGTCTTTCTAGTTGCGTATTTTTCATAGTCTTATATTTCAACAGTTTTACGACTAAATGTGACTTTTTTGACATGGAAATTATTTGTTAAGATTGACAAACATCATGTGTGTAATTCATGGCACAATTCAAACGGGATCGAAAGATAATCTTTTTCTCTCCATTGACTTCAATACATACTTTTTCAGAAATAAGGTCCCATGGGGCGGAAGTAGAAGGGCGGGACTTCGCCTTTCTATGGTGATTATTTTTTTGCTGCACATATTAAATAGAAAAATACTCTGAGCATGCGCAGTGTAGTTTTACAGAACCCATTCACTTTAACAGCAGAGAGAGGGGCTTGCCCCACGTCGCTCAAAACGGCTCAATGGGCACACTGTAGACACTAATTAGAAGAACGCAGACTAAAACAGCAATGTACAGACGAGTTAGATGACTATACATGATCTTAAAATATATTTTAAGATGTATTTCTTTTGCATTTTTTTGCATTTATTTGGAATTCTTATTTGAATTATTATCTGCTGACACTGGGTGGGGCTGTAACAACTACTCATCAGCTACTCATCGAGCGTTAACTGAACAAACCGAACTCAGATATTACTAAAGCAAAAGTTGCAATACTAAAGGCAATATATTTAAATATACACATCGTGGGTACTATTACTACAATTTGCAAACCAGTTTTAAAATGTACAAAAACATTTTTACAAACTGTTTCTTCGGTCACCAAAGACTTTTTTTAGTGGAAACATTCAGAATTACACATTTATAAATATCTAACTTATTTTTCTCAATTTACACTTAACTCTTTCTTTTAACAAACACATGCTTCAGTATATTCCAGTGGGTACTTCAAATATAAGACTAGTAATTAAATCAGTTTATGTTGTACTTTGAGAGTTGAGTTGTTCCTCCAGGCGGTAGCAACGTCTCGTTAACACCTTGACTTTATTCTGCTTTTCAGAGAGCAATTAGTGGCTCATTAATGAAACACTCACACCGCGGGACCAATTAGCAACAGAGCGGTTAATGAGAGGGCACAAAGATTATGGTGGTTAAATAAGACAATAACAGTGTAAGCAAAAAAGAAACACATATGCAGTCATTTTATTACATTTGGATTTTATCAAAGCACATCTTATTTAGAGTTAAAAATGACGTGGAGCAGGAAATTAAATCCCTTACATGTTGAATGTGTTCCTGTGGTTTTACAGATGAGAAAGAGGTATTACTTTTGCAGTTAACATGTGTATTATATAGTGTGTGTAATGCTCTTTGTGGTCCATCAAATAAGTGTATTTGAATTTGAAAAAACATGTTAGGGGTTTGATCGACACGCTAAGAAGAAAACACTGAATAACGGAAAGATTTTGAAATCCTTGCTTTTATTGTCCAAAAAATAAAAAATAAAAATAATAATGAGCAGTATGGAAATAATGCAACACAATAATTACAACATTTTCCACAAAATCTTTCTTTAAAATAACAGTTTCAACATTTTATTAAAAGATTAAAAAAATCACATTTTTAATTCTTAGGTGGATACATTTAAGTATTAACAACTACATCTCCCATGATGCTTTGAGAGCACATCTGTGTCTGAGACTCATGGGAGATGTAGTTCAGTAGAAATAAACTACAGATATTAACTCTGAGTGATTTTCCTGTGCAGTTCCTTCAGATCCTCCTCACTGGCTTCAGGTCCGTCTTCTGAGGAAACGTACCCAGGATAGGTGGGGTAAAACTGGGGAGGGGCTTTTAGCTTAGCATCCTCTTCCTCCTCCTCCGAAGCTAACAGCGGTATCAACTTAGCGTGAGCGTAGTCGATTTCAAAACCCTCGAAAATAAGCCCCACCCCCGATGCTCCAAGCCCCGCCTCCAGGAGCCTCGCCACCTGGAAGAGGAATAACTTTTACAGTTAAAATGTGTAATATATTCTATATCTACCACCTCTTTCTTCAAAATAACATTTTATTAAAGAAAATCAGGAATTTATTTATGATCAATCACATTTAGCATTCTTTATTCTCACAAGGATACATTTAAACAATAACAACTACATCTCCCATGATGCTTTGAGAGCACATCTATGTCTGAGACTCATGGGGGATGTAGTAGAAATAAACGACAGGATTAACTCAGAAAGAGGAATAACTTTTAGTTAAAATGTGTAATATCCTATACCTACAAAATCTTTCTTTAAAAATAACATTTCTATTAAAGAAAACCAGGAAGGTTTGATGCTCTCCCACCTTCAGTGCTGCCAGAACCAGCCCCTCGTAGTCCTGCTTCTCTAACCTGAAGATATCGGAGGTCAGAGGTCGGCGCGGCACCAGAACCGTGAACCCGGGGGAGTTTGGGAAGGGCGTGAGGAAGGCCACGTGACTCTGGTCCTCCCAAACCCTCCATTGTTCCTCCTCCTCCCCCCGAATGATGCGAGGAAACAGGCCGGGGTCCGCCGGGTCGACCCCCAGGAAGGAGAGGTTCTGGGGGGCGTTGGGTTCTGGGAGCTGGGCTCTGATCCGGGTCTGGATCTCAGAGAGGCGAGAGGAGGGCCAGCGGGGGGCCGTTCTGGAGGAGATGTATCCTGGATCTATAGCGTTGTAATCCTCCTCTCCCGCCAGGTGGGGGCGCCACTCTGAGGCCAGCCCGTGAAGAGGCAGGATCCGGATCTGAGGGGAGGAAATACAAGGTTTTATTCAAATGGAGTCGGACGAAACAATAACATTTTATAATTTTTTTACATTTTTACCTGTCTATTATATTTAATATCTTATATTTGTTTTAAATGTTCTACTCGTATTTTTAAGTATAGTAAGTAACCATTTTTAAGCTCCATAATAAACACAGATAATATCTATTTAAATCTTCCCGGAGACGTTAAACCGTGGACTCTGACTGTACCACTCTGGACTGTACCACTCTGGACTGTACCACTCCCTCACCTGTGCGGGGGTGTCTCTGTGAGGCCGGTGCACCAGAGCACACCTGAGCACCCCGAGGCGACGGCAGAGCAGCTGGGAGACACTCTGAGCCCCGAGCAGCAGCTGCAGGAAGCGATGCTCCTCCAGCTGGAAGACGCTCCTCCCTGGGGGGCCGGGGGGGCACAGCTGCAGGGTTACACACCCCGGAGTACAGGGGTGGGGCGAGAGGGAGGCCACCAGACCCTCAGACCTCCAGATCACATAAGGGGGGAGAGAGGACATCCTGTGGGGGAGAGAGAGCATCATGAGAGGAGAGTGAACATCATGTTGTCTTCAAAACACATGTTAAAGTACTTTAGTACATGGCTTAGTTGAATACTCGATTCTGATTGGTCAATTCAGAACACGTGACACGTTGTTAATCCAGAAGAGACAGACCGCTGTCAAGGACTTATTGACCGTTGTTAAGGACGCTCACATCTGCACAAAGAAGTCCGTTCGATTGAACTGTTCAGCTGAAAAGCAAACTGCATGTTTGCTTGGCGTCGGGATCCTGATCAGCCTGTCGGTGTTCTTTCCCCCATGATGACCGCCTCGCTGCACATTATCCCTCACGTATTACATGCCCCCATAGTATCAACTTTCAAACTAAAGTTATTATGTATGTCAGAAAAATATATTGTATGCTATGTTATAAACACGTTATTAAAAAAGGCACAAATTGCGTCATAAACAGTTGAAAAAGTAAACACCTTAAATGACTCATAATTAAAAGCTGAGTGTCTTTGGATCAAACCCTGGACATTTTCGTTGTGGCCAAACTGCGTTACTATTTAAGACACTGACAACCACTACAAAGACACTTAAAACCACTACAAAGACACTTAAAACCACTACAAAGACACTTAAAACCACTACAAAGACACTTAAAACCACAGACACTGAAAACCACTACAAATATATATTGTATTCTGTAGATTGTGTACATTACTTTTCACTTATGCACTCCTGGTTAGAAGCTAAACTGCATTTCGTTGTCTCAGTACCTGTAATCTGTGCAATAACAATAAAGTTGAATCTAATCTTGAGCAGGAACAAATGTATTTACTTAGTACATATCTGACATTAACGATTAAACACATTTGTGCATTCTTCAGAAGAGAGAGACTTGCTCTGTCATACTGGGTCAGGGTACAAGGAAGTGGAGAGGGAAATATCACAAACAGATAACAGGATTGCTGGGAATATGCAAAGTTCCAGGGGCGTGGGTTTGGCTGGACGAGTGAGGAGAGAACGAGGGCATCTGGAGTGGAGACCATCACGTTTCCCCAGAAGCTAACATAGATGTGAGTATCATAGAAAGCAGAAAAGAGTGGTGAATAAATGAAGTGGGAATTAAAACGAGTACCTGAACGAAAAGTATTACGATTACCTCAACATTTACACAGATGGATCTAAGAAGCAAGAATGCGTGGGGATAGGCGTGTATATCCCAGAACTCAAAACGAGTGTCAAATAACCATCAGTTTATACAGAAGAAATACTCGCAGCAATTATTGGGCTACGATGGGTTGAAGAAGTCAGACCTGATAGGGGGGTGATATGCACAGACTCACTATCTGCTTTGCAAAGCATACAGTCCACAATAACAGTTAGAGAAGATTTAATCATTGAACTTAACCACTGCTTACTGAGACTTCAGAGGAGGGGAATAGATGTGCAGTTAGGCTGGGTGCCTGCACATGAGGGGCTAAAGGGAATGAGCATGCTGATAAGTTAGCAACAGAGCCAGAGGCGTTACAAAAGGAAATAGCAAAACCAGTTGGAGCCTGATGGGGACACTGGGAACAGAAGGTGAGGGGGTAAGAGAGGCAGGAAGGGAGTGGAGCCTGATGGGGACACTGGGAACAGAAGGTGAGGGGGTAAGAGAGGCAGGAAGGGAGTGGAGCCTGATGGGGACACTGGGAACAGAAGGTGAGGGGTAAGAGCTACCAGGAAGGGAGTGGAGCCTGATGGGGACACTGGGAACAGAAGGTGAGGGGGTAAGAGAGGTAGGAAGGGAGTGGAGCCTGATGGGGACACTGGGAACAGAAGGTGAGGGGGTAAGAGCTACCAGGAAGGGAGTGGAGCCTGATGGGGACACTGGGAACAGAAGGTGAGGGGGTGAGAGAGGCAGGAAGGGAGTGGAGCCTGATGGGGACACTGGGAACAGAAGGTGAGGGGGTGAGAGAGGCAGGAAGGGAGTGGAGCCTGATGGGGACACTGGGAACAGAAGGTGAGGGGGTAAGAGAGGCAGGAAGGGAGTGGAGCCTGATGGGGACACTGGGAACAGAAGGTGAGGGGGTAAGAGAGGCAGGAAGGGAGTGGAGCCTGATGGGGACACTGGGAACAGAAGGTGAGGGGGTAAGAGAGGCAGGAAGGGAGTGGAGCCTGATGGGGACACTGGGAACAGAAGGTGAGGGGGTAAGAGCTACCAGGAAGGGAGTGGAGCCTGATGGAGACACTGGGAACAGAAGGTGAGGGGGTCAGAGAGGCAGGAAGGCCATTCTTAAGTATTTGAGTGAAAAAGGGTTGATTGGAAGAATTTAAAACAACGTAAATACAGTGGTATAATTCCACAAGTGGTGATAGGATGATATGGTGATACACACTCTTGTACAGTAGGTGGCGGTAGCAGAAGAAGAAGAAGAAGAAGGAGAAGAAGAAGAAGAAGAAGAAGAAGAAGAAGAAGAAGAAGAAGAAGAAGAAGAAGAAGGAGAAGAAGAAGAAGAAGAATCGGCTTTAGCAGCAGCTCATCTCAAACAAGCCTATTGTTAGAACGTTAGTAGGTCACGTGATCTGACCTACCTTCTGATGATAGTCCTTGGAAACAGCATGAAGTGGATAAAGACACACACCTGTCCTCTGATCAGAGAATAGAGAGGTAAACACGAACAGCTGACAGACAGTCATGTGACTTCTGCTCGTTCTTCTTCTTCTTTTCTTCTTCTTGTGCATTCAAAATATTGCATTACTGCCTCCCACTGGATTGATGATGAAACTACAATTATTGATATTTTCAACAAAGTAAAATCTTCAGAATCAGAAACAGGTTTATCACCAGGTAGGTCCACACATACGAGGAATTTGACTTGATGTCATGGTGCAGACATCAAATATAAAATAAGAAATCTAATATAAAACAAAAATCTTTAAGGACACCGTAATAAAATATAGTTAAATAGCAATAAAATAAAGCAGTAATTTGCATGGAAATAGAATGCTATGAATGAATTATAGGATATAAAATATGAAATATGTGCAGTAAGCAGTAGGAACATTGTGTGCATTAATGTGATGCATATAGAGTCTACGATGTGGCAGAGGTAAAGTGTACATGGGGGGGGGGGGGGGGGGGCGGGCCTTGTTTGAGAGGCCGGTAGCGGAGGGGTAGAAACTGTTCAGGTGGCGAGAGGTTCTGGTCCTGATGGAGAGAGGTTCTGGTCCTGATGGAGAGAGGTTCTGGTCCTGATGGAGAGAGGTTCTGGTCCTGATGGAGCGCAGCCTCCTGCCAGAGGGGAGGGGGGTGAACAGTTTGTGTCCAGGGTGGGAGGGGTCGGCCACTATCTGCCCGCCTCAGGGTCCTGGAGGCGTGCAGGTCGTGGAGGGATGGCAGGTTGCAGCCGATCACCCTCTCTGCAGAGCGGATGACCCGCTGCAGCCGGCCCTTATCCTTGGCTGTGGCTGCAGCGTGTCAGAGGGTGATGGAGGAGGTGAGGATGGACTCCATGATGGAGGAGGTGAGGATGGACTCCATGATGGAGGAGGTGAGGATGGACTCCATGATGGAGGAGGTGAGGATGGACTCCATGATGGAGGAGGTGAGGATAGACTCCATGATGGAGGAGGTGAGGATGGACTCCATGATGGAGGAGGTGAGGAAGGACTCCATGATGGAGGAGGTGAGGATGGACTCCATGATGGAGGAGGTGAGGATGGACTCCATGATGGAGGAGGTGAGGATGGACTCCATGATGGAGGAGGTGAGGAAGGACTCCATGATGGAGGAGGTGAGGATGGACTCCATGATGGAGGAGGTGAGGATGGACTCCATGATGGAGGAGGTGAGGATGGACTCCATGATGGAGGAGGTGAAGAAGGGACTCCATGATGGAGGAGGTGAGGATGGACCCCATGATGGAGGAGGTGAGGATGGACTCCATGATGGAGGAGGTGAGGATGGACTCCATGATGGAGGAGGTGAGGATAGACTCCATGATGGAGGAGGTGAGGATAGACTCCATGATGGAGGAGGTGAGGATGGACTCCATGATGGAGGAGGTGAGGATGGACTCCATGATGGAGGAGGTGAGGATGGACTCCATGATGGAGGAGGTGAAGGATGGACTCCATGATGGAGGAGGTGAGGATGGACTCCATGATGGAGGAGTGAGGATGGACTCCATGATGGAGGAGGAGGTGAGGATGGACTCCATGATGGAGGAGGTGAGGATGGACTCCATGATGGAGGAGGTGAGGATGGACTCCATGATGGAGGAGGTGAGGATGGACTCCATGATGGAGGAGGTGAGGATGGACTCCATGATGGAGGAGGTGAGGAAGGACTCCATGATGGAGGGGAGGTGAGGATGGGCTCCATGATGGAGGAGGTGAGGATGGACTCCATGATGGAGGAGGTGAGGATGGACTCCATGATGGAGGAGGTGAGGATGGACTCCATGACGGAGGAGGTGAGGATGGACTCCACGACGGAGGAGGTGAGGATGGACTCCATGACGGAGGAGGTGAGGATGGACCTCCATGAGTAGGAGGAGTGAGGATGGACTCCATGATGGAGGAGGTGAGGATGACTCCATGATGGAGGAGGTGAGGAAGGACTCCATGATGGAGGAGGTGAAGAAGGACTCCATGATGGAGGAGGTGAGGATGGACTCCATGATGGAGGAGGTGAGGATGGACTCCATGATGGAGGAGGTGAGGATGGACTCCATGATGGAGGAGGTGAGGAAGGACTCCATGATGGAGGAGGTGAGGAAGGACTCCATGATGGAGGAGGTGAGGATGGACTCCATGATGGAGGAGGTGAGGATGGACTCCATGATGGAGGAGGTGAGGATGGACTCCACGATGGAGGAGGTGAGGATGGACTCCATGATGGAGGAGGTGAGGATGGACCCCATGATGGAGGAGGTGAGGATGGACTCCATGATGGAGGAGGTGAGGATGGACTCCATGATGGAGGAGGTGAGGAAGGACTCCATGATGGAGGAGTGAAGAAGGACTCCATGATGGAGGAGGTGAGGATGGACTCCATGATGGAGGAGGTGAGGATGGGACTCCATGATGGAGGAGGTGAGGATGGACTCCATGATGGAGGAGGTGAGGATGGACTCCATGATGGAGGAGGTGAGGAAGGACTCCATGATGGAGGAGGTGAGGAAGGACTCCATGATGGAGGAGGTGAGGATGGGACTCCATGATGGAGGAGGTGAGGAAGGACTCCATGATGGAGGAGGTGAGGAAGGACTCCATGATGGAGGAGGTGAGGATGGACTCCATGATGGAGGAGGTGAGGATGGACCCCATGATGGAGGAGGTGAGGATGGACTCCATGATGGAGGAGGTGAGGATGGACTCCATGATGGAGGAGGTGAGGAAGGACTCCATGATGGAGGAGGTGAAGAAGGACTCCATGATGGAGGAGGTGAGGATGGACTCCATGATGGAGGAGGTGAGGATGGACTCCATGATGGAGGAGGTGAGGATGGACTCCATGATGGAGGAGGTGAGGATGGACTCCATGATGGAGGAGGTGAAGAAGGACTCCATGATGGAGGAGGTGAAGAAGGACTCCATGATGGAGGAGGTGAGGATGGACTCCATGATGGAGGAGGTGAGGATGGACTCCATGATGGAGGAGGTGAAGAAGGACTCCATGATGGAGGAGGTGAGGATGGACTCCATGATGGAGGAGGTGAGGATGGACTCCATGATGGAGGAGGTGAAGAAGGACTCCATGATGGAGGAGGTGAGGATGGACTCCATGATGGAGGAGGTGAGGATGGACTCCATGATGGAGGAGGTGAGGATGGACTCCATGATGGAGGAGGTGAAGAAGGACTCCATGATGGAGGAGGTGAGGATGGACTCCATGATGGAGGAGGTGAAGAAGGACTCCATGATGGAGGAGGTGAGGATGGACTCCATGATGGAGGAGGTGAAGAAGGACTCCATGATGGAGGAGGTGAGGAAGGACTCCATGATGGAGGAGGTGAGGATGGACTCCATGATGGAGGAGGTGAGGATGGACTCCATGATGGAGGAGGTGAGGATGGACTCCATGATGGAGGAGGTGAGGATGGACTCCATGATGGAGGAGGTGAGGATGGACTCCATGATGGAGGAGGTGAGGATGGACTCCATGATGGAGGAGGTGAGGATGGACTCCATGATGGAGGAGGTGAGGATGGACTCCATGATGGAGGAGGTGAGGATGGACTCCATGATGGAGGAGGTGAAGAAGGACTCCATGATGGAGGAGGTGAAGAAGGACTCCATGATGGAGGAGGTGAGGATGGACTCCATGATGGAGGAGGTGAGGATGGACTCCATGATGGAGGAGGTGAGGAAGGACTCCATGATGGAGGAGGTGAGGATGGACTCCATGATGGAGGAGGTGAGGAAGGACTCCATGATGGAGGAGGTGAGGATGGACTCCATGATGGAGGAGGTGAGGATGGACTCCATGATGGAGGAGGTGAGGATGGACTCCATGATGGAGGAGGTGAGGAAGGACTCCATGATGGAGGAGGTGAGGAAGGACTCCATGATGGAGGAGGTGAGGAAGGACTCAACATACTAGTATGACTAAATGAGTATTTTATGCATTTTTCTCATTTTTCATTAATAAATAAAAAATCTTCGACACAATGTTTTTTCTCCTGATATTTGTGACATCCTATGATTTCATGCTAAACTTCGTTTTTCTCATATTTCTGGGCTTCTTATACCAAGTCATTCTTTCAGGACATAAACTAAAACGACTTTAATATGTTGTAACATTGCTAACACTCAACACTCAATACAATGATTTTGATAAATAAAAGGTTTTGTTTCAATGAGGAGTAGAAGAAATACAAATACAGTGAGCAAAACATGAAACAACTACTTTTACTCAAGTACAATATCTGAGTACTAGTAAATCCACCAGCTACCCTGCAGTATACAAAGTACTTCAAACTAGCTGCACCTTCACCAGCTTTGAGAATACTTTCATGATCAATCATTATAAAACATATCATATATATTATTCTGAAATGGACCAATCTGCACAACGACTACTTTCACTGTCGCTACTTTCACTATATTTTGATGAGAATACTTTTCTACTTTCACTTGAGGAACATTTTGAATGCAGGACTTTTACTGTAACAGAGTATTCCTACACTCTGGTACTTCTACTTTTACTCAAGTACAAGATCTGAGTACTTCTACTTTTACTAAGTACAAGATCTGAGTACTTCTACTTTTACTCAAGTACAGAGTCTGAGTACTTCTACTTTTACTCAAGTACAAGATCTGAGTACTTCTACTTTTACTCAAGTACAAGATCTGAGTACTTCTACTTTTACTCAAGTACAAGATCTGAGTACTTCTACTTTTACTCAAGTAACAGATCTGAGTACTTCTACTTTTACTCAAGTACAAGATCTGAGTACTTCCACTTTTACTCAAGTGCAAGTGAGCTGCTCCCTATTGAAAGGTGAACGTGACGTTTAACTAGTGGGTTTATATATACAGTCTAGTTACAATATACAATGACCTTTCCTCCTTTTGTTGACACATTATAATATCAGTTTTCATGTTTTTGAAACGCTATACAATCAGCCGCCAGCAGAGGGCGCTCTCGAGCTGCAAAGTGAAGTGCCTCCTCATTGGTTGAATGTCACACCATCGCTTCATTCAACACCTCCTGACTCGTATAAATGATTATGAAACGCATGTAACATATTTTCTTAATAACCACTTCCTGTTTCATCAGAGGGTGAATTATTCTAATTTTGAGGCTTTTTCTTAAGTACACTTCCTCTTTCTGGGGAAATTCGATATAGGATTAAACAC